TGTCTGGTAGGGAGCTGGGAGGGAGCAAAAATGTGGACTGTCTGGTAGGGAGCTGGGAGGGAACAAAAATACGGGCCGACTGTGGGCCACCGAGGACCAGCTTGGGAAACACTGGTAGAGTCTCTGCAACATTTACGAAACATTCAACCTCTGAAGCTCTGCTGTGTGTTTTACTGACATGTGGGGGGGGCTGTGTTTATGGGTGAGGGGGTACAAGAGTACATAGCCGTAAATAAAACACAGGATGTTATGAGAGATCTTTCACTTCTTCTAATAATTCTGTCAAATAAAATTAGTGTTTACCTTTGTTCCGCAGAAGTTATCTGTACACCCATTGCAGCCTTTCACTTGAGGAAAATTTATTTAAAATATCATTCTTTCATGGATCTAATTTATTTGCAAATTAGAAATCAATTGTAGAGAGTCAATATAATTATAATTAATAACAAAATGTGTCATACAATTGATGCGGCACGTGACGTCAGATTCAGCTTCTGCAGGAGACTTTGCTAACGTTGTTATCTTTTGTTAACCATCTGATTACTCATATGGGCTTTTGATGATTTCCGTTGTGGCCTGGAAAGACAAAGGCCAGGCATGCTGGAGGACAGGAAGGACTATAGAGGTGATAAAAAAAGGAGAGATTGTGAGGAATGAGATTAAGATGCCCGTGTGTGTGATCTGATCTCCCCAGAGAGTGTAACATGGCAGCTAACAGTCTAGGGCATAAGCCAGACTATCCAGCAAGCTGTAGACTTACTACTCTGCCTGCTGAAGCCTGGGCTGCTTCAGCAAGAAAACATGTATTTTATAGAAATATGAAAGACACCAGTTTGGAGAACTAATGAAGCAGGCAATGCAAATAATGCTCAGTCTTCCAGTGTTAATAACTGTGGTCTACGTTGTACCGGTCAATAAACATGCAGAACATGTTACTGTTCATCAGAACAATCGATAGTGTAGATTTACTACTTCGGTACTGGACCACTTGGGATCTGAACCTAACGCCTGTGAACCGGGGCATGCCCAAGGGGCCTGTGGTTTGCAGGCTCCAGTAGGGTGTGTCATGACACCCCCTTGTGAAACTGGTGAAGATGTGTGAGGGAGTGACAGTCAACAGCGATATTCTACACTCTGCGATCGCTGCTTGGGCACGAGGTACACATGTACGGTGTCTCCCACATTGCTGGTTTACTACTTGTTTATGAGCCTGGACCCCGTTCAGATACGGGAAGTTTCATATAACTGGTGGTTAAGCTTTTGCTATGTTAGTCCCACTGGTGCAGGACACTGGGGATTTCAAGTGACGGACCCATCCTCCGTCTGGTGTATATATAGACAAAATTCCACTGGAAGACCAACTTTGTGTCCCCCCCACCCCTATGACCTTTGCCCTTAACCGGCAGCATCCAAATTCTCCAGCATGGTGTCAGAAGCCTTGGCCCTGAAAGTAAGACATAGAGGACACCCGCAAGACGGGCCTGATGGCGGCCGTCTCCATGGAGACCACTCCAGGGCCAAAAATAAGGTTTGGCTTCAGACAAGAGTGGCGACGTCGTCATTTTCTGAAATAAGATGGAAGGAGAAAGAGGAGGAGCAAAGAGAAGGAGAAAAGCAGTAAGCGATGTGACTGGTACCTTTCATTCTGGCCTGTGACATCTATGGTGGCGTTTGACCTCTATCCTTTTTGGCTGGCAACCCAAAGTGAAAAACCTTGATGTGGATGGCACATTCTCGAACCCGAAGCCGTGCTCATGGTGAGCCTTTCCTCAGGAAACTCTGAGCATGCCAACTGCGAAGCACCGGACAGGTGAGGTGGGGGGTAGCTCTATCGAGGAGCTTGCGGCCATTTAGGATTCTGCTGTCGAGTGAGTTTTGGGCTTATTTTTGGAATCGCGGCTGATGGATTAACCTGCGCCTGAGGACTGACTGACTGCGCAGTCAGACTGCCTGCGTGTGTATAAACTGATATTGTGTAAAAAAGAGACTCCAGGCAGCTTGTGTGTTTTTCCAGAGGTAACCTTCCGGCAGCTGGACGGCTGCTCGCCGTTGTGTTTCACTGCTATCCAGTGCCTTTCATGGGACCTTCAGACACAAGCGTGAATGTGGTGAGGAGCGTCTCTCCCCTGCTGTGGTGACCACCTCTTGCTGGATCCCGTTAGTTTAGGCCGCCTATGCCTGCGCTCCAGCCAATCATGTGCCTGCGTTCCCTGTGTCCCCTGCGCTGGCGCTGTGGCGCTCTCCCGCAGCCTCATGTCCGTCTCTGCGGCCGTGACGCACCATACACTAGTCTGCCACTAGAGGGAGGAGCCCCCATTCAGGTAGCACTCTCTCTCGCTCTCTTGCACTGGCATTGCGACCACATCGCAAAGAAACGCATGTCAGCCCTGGGGTGGAGAAGGATGGCGCCCCCCCCCTCCCACCTCACTTCTGACTCAGAGGTTATGATAAACAATCATACCCAGCCTGTGCAGCCCAGCTGCTGTGGACGGGGGAATCAGATTACACAGGTTAGCCAGAAGCACCTGTCCTCCCACCCGCGTGCCAACTGGCCATGACTGGATCATTTCTCTGTTTACCTCCAGTGTGACACCAATAACTTTTGCTCTTTTTGTTCATTTAACATGCGTCATCATCCCATTTTCCATTGTGGCCCTGTGCTGCACACAATTATAGGTCATTCAGTACTTTAATTATGCCTTTATCAGCTGAAAATGTAAATATTTAATTACGAAATGGCAAAAGCTAGCCAATTAACACTGCAAGTGAATTAAATGACCTTAAACTAGTATTCCAGCATTACCTGCTGGGTTTTCAAAATGAGGACTTGCCATAAAAAGGAAATTAACTAATAAAATTGCTGATTCTTCCAAAATAGGCCAGCTTATTCATGCAAATTAGGGGTTTAATAACCATTGCCCCTTTGGTGAGTTCTGCAGCCTCAGTTAGACGTACTTTATGTAATGACTTCAGATTAAATTGTCGGTTGCTGTCCCTTTTGCTTCAGAATTTGCAAACCCCCGCTGTTGAGGTATTCCTGTGGTGCCGGAGATATTCACTGTTTACGAAGCTTCTGCTCCACACATTTATGGGCTTTGGATACTGACACAGCTGGTGATGTCAGACTTATTAACCGTGATTAAAATTGACTGATCGCCACCGGTGGCTCCTCTCGCCGGCGTCGCGTGAATTACTGTGTTTAAACTCCTTCATGTGATCTGAGAGGCAGCTTGCCTTGCATTCGGTTGTTACCTGCCGAAACTATCGGCTGTGTGATAACCAGGGGCGGAGTCTGGACTCCCTGCTTGATCAATATAACCTGAATCGGCTGGATTAATATTTCATAATGAAGGGAGTCCCTGATGGACACTCACTGTGTCGGAGCCCCTGCAGTAAATTTTAAAAAGTGGACAACTGTGTTTCTCAGAAAACAGATAACATACCGCGGCATACAGTCATTAGGACCTGAAATAGTCCACGAGGCAGATCTGTAACTTAAAAATAGCATTTCAGTGCCTTGAGCCAACAGCTCTACACAGGATAAGAGCGGATACAAATCTACAGAGACAGGAATCTGCCAAAAGCCACATAATGCCTGTAGTTTTGATAGTAAAAGTGCTATATGCTTTATGGCCTGTATCTCTCTTTGTGAGGGCACTGCCTCAGGCATCTCGGGAGCAGAATGTACAGCGTTCTAGCCTGCAGATTCAGGTTTGAGGTGCTGAGATGCTCCCAGAGTGTTGTGCGCTGGTGACCCGGTGTTTTGCACAAAACCACATGCTGCTTGTAGACCCCAAAGTTGCCTGTGGTCAGATGGATTCCGTGAATAACGCAGCGTATTAAACCCTGTGGTGCACCTGAGTGACCCACTCTCCCATGCTGAAGGGGACCATCATGCTTACTACACAGTGCACAAGGGTGCGAGTGCTGTCCCAAACGTCTTCACCGAGAGAAGCTTCAGCTCGTAGGGCTCCCAGAAAATCTGACTCAGTTTCGTGGCCCTGCTGGACAATGGGATAGGAGAGTTTGATATTGGGGAGGTACAACTTAATAATCTAAACTGAAAGGTCTGTGTATTGGAGGTAATGAATATATCCAACATAAACACCAGGGGGGGGGGGATACCCCACCTGTTCCTATGTCTCTGCAGCTGGATAAACTGCAGTGAGAATCAATACTGAAGCCGCAACCCAAAAAAAGCAGCTGCTTCACGTCGGACTCTGTGTGGCTGTACAGACTGAGACTGCAGAGGTCTCTGTATAAGAGGCACTGGTTCCTGGTAGGGGCAGCCAGGTGGGGGCTTTCTCCTGTCCCATAGGTGACGGATTACCCTTCACCCCTTCCAGGCCACCAGGCTGCCCTATTCTTCCTGTCTTTGTTTCTGTTTTGTCTTCTCTCTGGTCGTCTTATTTCCCTATTGACCTTGTCTGCTTTCCCACCGCTTCCCCGTTCACATCGATCCCCCACCCCGCCCCCCCTAGACTCCACCCCTTTGCTGTCGCACCAAGGCAAGGGCCCCTGCTAAACTCTTCACTACAGTCCCCTGATGTGACAGAAGATCCCCCCTGGTCCGATTTCACCCTCTCATCATGACATCCATTAAAGTCCTGCTGGGCCCTGGACCTGCCGGCCAGGACAGGCCATTAGCGCCTGCTTCATTGAGCACAACACGACCTGCTCGTGAATTATTGATACCTGCACAGCTAATGAAGAAACCCAACCCCCCCCCACCCCTCGCCCCCCGTGCCTGCTGCTGGGGGCAGGGGGGGGGGGGGGCAGGGGGGGGGG